GCTCACGATAAGTGCGTGCATCGCGGACTTTGGCCAATCAGAGGAGTCACCGATGCCATCGTGCTGTCCGTAAAGTCGAATGTTTAGCTCCATGGCCGTGCACTGTTTGCGCTTGGCTTGTTGACGATGCAGATCCTCACGGACCCGAAGATATGAGCACTTTACTGTATGAACCGAGCTGACGGTCCCTATCTCTCGGCCTGGCGCCCACTCCTTCGGAAAGACTTCTCAGTTTGCGTACGGAGTACCTCAGCCTCAGATTACTGTGGGTATTGTGTCGTATACCTAGCGGCTCAAGAGCGCGAAGGAGCCAGGTTGCAACGAATGGTGGTGGAACCATCACCGTTCAGGGCTGAGAGCGTGTCAGACGCTCCCCCCTTCCCCAGCTGGATGCGCAATCGTGAGTCCTCAAGGCCCTCGGCACACTCAGCGCTGAGGTGCTATCAGCTGAGAAGCACGTCTCCGAACTAGTGGATCTAGTTGCGCGTTAGCTTGCAAAAGGGATGGACCCTGTAGATAGCGAGCCAACAGCTCCACAAAGATGCGCGTAACCGTAGCGAGCCGTTCCCGAGGTTCTCTAGTTGGGACCACTGACCATAGCGCCGGGCCTAGTAGACAAACGTCTGGGTCAAGAGGACTCAAGTGGGAAAATAGTCGCGATTCAACTCGAGAGAAGGGTGTGCGAATTCCCAATCCATGATGGTTCTCCATGCCAGTCTTGCCTATTTCATCGAATGGTCAGCCTTATGTGGTGATGGGGTTAGTGGCCAGGATTAATTAGTAAAAGGCGTTGAATGGTACAACCGAAATATCCGAGGGCATGATATGACTGCTCACATTTGCTCGCACACTTTCGCAACCAATATTGGTTCACATCGTATGTTCCGTATACTTTGAAATCTACCGACTTGAGCCGTAAAGAGCGTCCGAGGTAGAGCATATACTGGTTGATAGGGATTCTACGGAAAAGCGCAACCGATATCTTACGAGCATGTTGGGGCGCGGCCAGGTGGGGGAAACTTTCTGTGTTTCATTAATTAACCTTGTTGATCTTGCCATGGATCGTGAACTGCCAAAATCTGTAGCTAGACTCTTCGAGCTTGCTTTCTGACCAGACACGGTCCACACCATGATAACGTGCCTGTTAGATTAGCCCCGTGTCGTCCATGACGGTCGTTAGCTTCGTCATACTACAGTTGACACTGCCACAAAGATAGAGTTGTACGCAGATCAGAACAGCACCCTTCAGGAATGGTGCAGTTCATAAGAGTCAAACAGAGTAACTGCATGGCTGTTTAAAGATCGCATGGATGGGTCGAATTACAGTAGTAGCGTGGATCTACTGCGATAAGGGACTTGCCGGTGGGTCTCCTGCAAACACTATTACTGAATAGTGTGCCTGCTGATGACGAGTAAACGTAGGCGCCCAAGCCTCAACTGTACACTAACCATGTGATGACTAGTCCGCAACCGTCTAAGTTGTGACAACATGAGACATCTTCGGTATAGGCAATTGAAGATCCACTAAGTCGAGCCAATGTGATCATTCCCATCACGCGGCCAACATACACAGCCTTTGAAATGTAGGTACGTATTGCTTGGATGAATGTCGAGAATCCTCCCCGCCACGAGGCATCCTTAAACTGGGAGGCATCTTGCGCCTTATAGGCTGGAGGGCACAGTACCCAATCTACATACTACGGGGTGCCTTTAGGAACCTACCCACAAACCAATCAAGGCGCCCCTCCCGCCTTCGCCATACAGCAGTGATAGCAGTTGTGTGAACCACATTGCTATAATGACGGAGGATATCTAGGCCGTGGCCCTTGCATTCCATTAGACTTTAGGGTTTCATCAGTTTTCTTAGATGCCAAGTCGATTGGGCAAGCCCGACCCGCCACTACCGTGAAAGAAGAGAAGCGCCAAACACGGAGAAAGACCAGTTCAAGAAGTCTAGTGTCTTGGTAACGCAAGATAGCGTAATGAACGCCTTGCCGGCATTTCTGTGTGCCATAGTCCGTGAGAGAATCGAATTCGGCATATCTGGGAAGCCAGACGCAGTACCCAAAAGAGCATGTGCCGGCACAGAGCTCAAACATGCTCTATTCCCGAAGACTGGGCCGAAGTGGCAGCCAGCTTTCGTCACAAAATATCATTGACAATTAGTGTGTCATGCAGCTGCTTCATGGCAGGCTGATCATCGTGGGCATACCTATATGGGACTCTTGATAACGTCTCTGTTGTGGGACCCGTAGCAAGGCTGCCTCCCATTTGGCCCCCAGTAAAAGTGGCCACACTTTACGCCCGGTGATAGACCCGGTGCGGCCTGTCCCTCAGGCTAGAGGGAAAGCTGGAGAAGTGCAACAACATGCGCAGACTAGAATCTTGAGGAGCCTTGGGAGCACATCGGCAGACGCATGGTGGGTGGCAAGATGAAGGCGCAGAAGTGTGGCAGACCTTGGCGGAAACCAGAGCCCATGGCACGATGATCCCGGCCATGCACCTGGATCCCAAGCCATTCTCGCAGTATCTCGTGGAGTATCATGCGGAGCGTCGCCCTCCCCCGCTTGGAGTTGCAGCTGCTTTGCCACTAAGTCGTTTCTGCTAGAGCCCGCAGCCGCGCTAGGCTGTCTCGGGCCTAGCTCTGGAGAATCTTCCGCTCGCTTGTAACCGGAACCCTCCAACGATCCTGGGGCGAGCGATCTTCTCCAGCATTGCCCTCCAGAGTTCCTGTCTGCCTGCACCCTGTAGGCCGAATGCCCACTGTCAGATGTCGGCATTCGCGTCGCTGTCGCGGATGACCAAGTTGCTGTCTCAGGATTTGGATGACTTCCTCAACTCAGCCCTCATTTGCAGTCATCAGGGGTGGCCACGAATGACGACCAGCCGCGACGGCACCAGCAGAGCCTGTCGCTAGCGCACCGCAGGCAAGGTGTGCCTCATGCTCTGCTATTGGATCACCGGGTCATCAGAATAACCCTTTCGGGAAATCCGTGAGGGAGAGGTTAGACTTGCCCACCACTCCATCGTCGACCGTGAACGGCCGACCAGTCGCTGCCAGGTACCTGTCCTCAGAACGAGCTAGGCAATGCCCCCAGCCCGAATAGGACCAGCCGAATCCTGCCCCCGGAGCAGTTCGCAGGAGGTCTCTGGACTCTGGAGCACGCCTGATAGGGGACTGCAAAATGGCAAACAGGTCCCGCTATCTGAACCGTAGCCCCATCGTGACGCTTCCAGCACTCCGGCAAGCTCATGATTACAAATGATACCTGGCGTCCAGGACGTCCCGGCTGCTCGCAAGCAGAGTTTATAGACAGCTGCACTATTCCGGCCAGAATCCCACGGATAAGGGCTATTTCCACACACCCCAGATCAATTCTACGAATGCGACGCATACATAGTAGACAACCTCGTGAAATTGCCAGCCTAAGACTGAGTCTTGTAGGGCCAATGAGAGTGCAGAGCCGATGCTGCACCTCCATCTGCAGGCCAAATTGCAGTGCTCTAGCCTCTGGAACAGGCTCTTGTATGGTCAGAGAAACAGCTCCCGTATGTTTCTGGCACTATGGGCGCTCTCGGGAGTGGGAGACTGGTCGCATGAGCATGGAGCGACAATACGCCATCTGGACTGCTTTGTGTTACACTGCGTGTGAAGCTTGAACGCACCAAGTTTCTGCTTTCCGGGGTCCAGTCTGCCCGTAGGCCGATCAGCTCATGATAGTGCTCGTTGTCCACTTCCACGTCGCTGCGGCACTCGAGAGTTATCTTGCTGCAAGCAGCCCCCCACGGGCCCACAGGAGTTTCCCGTGCCAGGTAGCTTCTCAAGTGGAGGAAGCCATACCAAGAGAGCGTTATCAACGTAGCTAGCAGCTCGTCAATCTTGGGACGGACGTAGACTCTGCTCTGCCACCGGTATACCCTCCAAGAGCAGTCCCATGAGGACGCTGGCAGGCGCTGGTGTATGAAGGACAAGCGGCCATGAGGCCACCTCGAGGCGCCGCAGCTCGGCATCGATTCACAGGACCACACAATGCTCGCTGTCTCGCGGCGTACCAGATTGGCCGGCTGTAGTCTTGGCAACTTAATCTGCCTCCATTCATCCCTTGCCAGCTAAAACACTTTCATCATGCCCCACCCCCAGCACGCATGCGATATGAAGACCCCCCTAGTGTTGTCCAGACACCTTTCGCCCCTCAGCCCCCGGGACATCCAGCGAAGACGACAGAAAAATTTTCTAGACAGGGGGGTACGGTTACTTTGCAGCTAGAGTCGTACACACCCTCGATGACGGCGCTAAGGGAACCGGCCAAGGAAGCTAAAGTATTATGCAGAAGACCCCTCAGGAGTTCCACCCAAGTGCCCCCCGACAGGCACCTGTGTAGTCACACTCCCACACACGGTTTCACTCCCCCCACTGGCTGTAGGATGATTGTCTGCCCACAGCCCATGTCCGGCGACTGCCTGACTGCCTTGGAGCAGGGGTGGAGACACTCCACCCTCTAGCAGCCCCATGCCGCTTGGTCATTGAACGCCCAGAGCACACCATTCTCAGAGGACGACGCATTTTTCGCTCCAAGATCAAGGAACGAAGTACCCTCCCGCCTGGGGAAGCCTGGCAAGGTACACTGCAGCCCACCACTGGCCCAGGTCCCATCCAAAGTAGCCCAGTACCTCCCGCTTGCTCATACATATGAACCTCCTCGTCCTCCTCCACCTTCGTCGACGTTATTCAACTCTTACAGACAACTCGAGTACTCTTCCATTCTTACACGATACTGCCTCTCCCCAACAGTGCAGTGCACCCCTGGTACATTTGCTCTCGAGTTACTATCAATCGACAACCCCCACGCAACCACCGCTCTTGAATGTCGACCTTCTTGTTCGCCGCTGCGGACTCTATCTGATCAAGCTCTACCACCAAGCTTCGGCACTCCTGCCATTTCTCCATATCAGATTCCAGGGCTCGCAAGTCGACGACGATTGTCGAGCCGCTCTTCAACATGTCTTACAACACCTCTTGGGACCACCAGTACTGCCTGTCCTGTGACCGGCAGACGGACGGTGCTACGTACTGCTCGGAATCATGCAGACTTTCGGATTTCGACAAATCCTCCACAACCTGCAGCACACCAATCAGTTCACCTGGCCTGACGGGTTCCAACTTCAGCTGGACAAGCCCGAGGCCACAGACCAAGTTCTACTTGTCTCCAGCATATGACTTCAGCAACGCCCAGCCGTACGGGTCGACCCCTCAACCACAGCCCCTGTTCCGCCGCCACGAGTCATTACCGTCTGTCGGCCAGCTCACCCCTTCGAGTTCATACAGCAGCTTGAGCTCTATGCAGAGCACATCATCTAGGGGTGGTGGTGAAGGTCGACAATTATCCGACAAGGCCAAGAAGCAACTCAGAGACTACGCCAGCTCGTTCAACATCCAGCGCCGTCGATCATGCTAAGCTTGTACATGCTGTGTACAGATAACGAATTGTTTCCCCTATGTTACTCGATATACCCCCAAGAACGAATCTCAACTACTTCTTTTATTCACACGGCGTACCAACAACACCTCATTCATCTCTACTTTGTCTCACACCACGGCTTTGGATACGGCAGATCATCACACGAAATTTCCCTTGTACAAAAAGCATATATCGGAGCTCAGCATTAGAAAAGTTATTTGGCTGGATTGGCCGGATTGGACTGGTTTCTATTTCACTCGACTCTGCCCGAAGTCAGAAGGCGCACTACGGATTGGTGGCCACGGCGGACCACCTGGTTGTACTACGATACATCAGGAGATATCATTGTGTTTCTACATGGCGTACACCTGGAATGGGTTTCCAGGGCAAGGGGGCTGTTGACATCACGAGCCCCAGCTGGCCATGAGGCGGCTACAGAAATCGTCCCAGCCGACGAAGGCATTTTCTTGGCCCAGATAGTCGTCATGGTGGCGGCTACTCGGGGACTTCAAACATTCGAGCAATGAATCACGGGATTCTATAAGACTCGATTGCGAAATTGGCACTTAGAATTAGGAATAAAGTCTAGCAACTGCAACAGTTTGCTGTCGACTACGAATAAAGTCACAAACCATTGAAGACTTACTACTACTTTCGTCCATTGCGTGCTACTACCGATCCAAAGACGCAACATCACCTCATGCTATGGTCTGCGTTTCCACGATGACTCAAGATCGTGACTAGCCGCCCCGATCGGCAGCCTGTCCCACAAATGACTCCAAGTTAGATGGCACGTCAAAATGCTCCCCAGATGATCCCAACTAACTTAGCCCTGGTCAAGGAGTAACTACTTTGTGGGGGGTTTACAGCGCAGCACCTGAGCAGTGGATCACGGCGGCTGGTTACGCTGTCAACTAGTAGCATGAGCGAGGCTCAATAGCTCCAAGCCAGCGCCAGTTTCCCCAGAACTAAAGCACTGATGAGACAAACCAGTTCTATCCGACATCCGGGTCCCGTGCCTGAGAAAAAAGCAAGACGCCTCGGCTAACAGTGCAGTTTTGCGTATTTGCGTCTATCAGGGGGGCAATGCACATCACTGTTCAACGTTTGTAACCGACAGGCTACCTGCTGGCCGAAGCCAGGAACGCGAACTATATGTTACCAAGAATTATGTTGTCTTCTATTACATAAAACACCCAGAGCTTCCGTGATATCCTTTAGCGGAAACCTTCTGAGCTGGACGATCGCAGAGATCCATGACCGCCGATGACGGCTCTTTGTTGACTCCAGAGCCTCAATTACTTTGGCGCTAACTCTGTCGTCCGCCTCGATGGGGAGGCACAAACATGGCCCCCGGGTGCCGAAGTCCGCACGGGCTGATCAAAGCTAGCCAACTCACCCGCCTTTGGTTTGTGCAGAAAGGCGAAACGAGCGTGCGAGTGGCCAAGTGGAATTCCAGCCTTGGACGTGTGCTGTATCTTCCCAATTTACCTGGCGAGCGCTGAAGAGCGCCAACGAGGACTAGCGAAGCGAGCGAGCACACCCCGCCCGCAGAGTCTCACAGTCCAGCCGCTTCCAAGGGAATTCAGGCAATTGCGGTAAAGTGGGTGGATGCTGTGCGACGCCATGATGACTGCGGCGACATGCCATTTGCCAGCAAGTCACAGTGAACATGCCGACTGGCCTACGTAGAATGTGCCTTTGGAGCGATTTCGGTGAGCTCGTTCCAATCCAAGATTCTCTACTGTTGAGGCTGATCAGCCAAGCAGGCGTAGCCGACCAGAAGTCAATAAGGCTCGGGACCTGGAAGGGTCCTTGCAAGGGCTGAGCTTATGGTGGTGAATGGGAGCCCGCTGAGAGAAAAAATTTTCTCCTTCAGCTGGCTCCTTTTTGAGTTCCGTGAACCTTCGAGACAAGTCGGATGTTCCTGCTGAGCTACGATTGACACCACATCGCTCAATTCGATCAATGCTATGCAAGGTCCGAGAAAATTTGCTGGGCCTCGATTGCCATGGCCCCAAGCCCAACACCCCTTGCTGCGCTGGCATCTCCGGGGCGCGCGCTTCGGCCACGGCGGTAGCCCCCAATCCGTACGAGCGTATAAGATTTGTATCTTTTTTTATTCCGCAGTTTTCCAGCGCTCGTCTAATCACTCAGCATGTGAAGCCCTTGTTTCAGAAGATGAGAGGGAATTTTTTGTTTTGTTTTTAACAATCCTCGAGACCGGTCAAGGACGATACATTGACCCCCTCTCAAGGCCTGGACATTTTAACATTTTGTCCAACGCAGTAACGGTAAAGGATAATCCGCCACCTCTCAGGAACGCCCCGAATTAGTCTCAGAGGTGCATAAACGTCTACCAAGACATTCACTTCGGCACGACGTGAATGGTGCTTGACTTGAATTGTAAGGTACAAGCGATCCCGGTAATTATTGACGAGAACGACAATGGACCAATCTGTCTTGATGCCTTGTTCTACTTCACGTCTTAGCATTAGAGTGCAACGGTAATAGCAAAAGCCTCTCTCACTTGTCCTGCTGGCCACTTTATGGATAAACACGTCAGAAGGTAGCTATCTGCACTTGGTCACTGCACCGCCATGCTGGGGGAGCGTACAAACCAAGTCCAATGCAGAGCTTGCGACCACTGCTCGTATAACGGGCGAGTATTAGTCGCCAAGTTGCATATGCAGCTGGCGATGAGAGACACAAGGAATCATCATCTGGCGTATGGTTTGCATCATCTTCATGTGCCGAGATGAACGGGGCCATGACCCCCACCTGTTTTGCCAAAGTTAGATATATGAAGCACGGCATAGCTTAAGGTTCAGATCACGATTTGAAGTTACAATCATCTACAATACCATGGCCCCCAACTTATAGCAGGCCTCCACTATAGCGGGCGATGGAGCGTCAATCAGGCAAGTTTTCATGAGCATCTGGTCATTTCGTTGGCCTCTTTTCCGTGGTACCAGAACCATGATCCAAACGGTTCCAGCGGTATGTTACGCGACCATCGTCGATCATTGAACGGGACGGCCAGATCACCTGTTTCAAGTCTCTGGGACGAGCCAATTGGCATGCGATCATGGATTACATAATTCTGTATAGCGCATGGTTGTCATATGGGACGCCCCAGTTATTTCGGGTAATTTTTTTCAAAATCCCTGCTGTCGTTCATGTGCAGGGATTTTTAAACATAGCCCTTGCTGCACTTTGGACTTTCAAGCAAGGAACGACAGGCATCGCAATAGCAATTTGCAGTCTATGGGTCGGATTTAAGGACTTGCTCAGTGCAGAATTTCCAAGCGAGAATACCTAGTTACTGATCAGAAACATGTCCACAGTCAGAGATGATGAACTCTCTAATCTGCCAGCGAGAAATGAAACCCCCTGGTGCACTGTCAAAAATATCCTTGTACGGGCTCCAAATTCATCCCGTCCCGTTCCCGCATTCGGATATCGGATCCTGGCAAGGGTCGCAGGAAGGTAGGAAACCCACAACCAAGCTCGAAAAATATGCCCTTCCGGCATTCTTCCACAGTTGGATCCTGCGAAGAGCTCCCGGATGGCTCCCCGGGCGGCCTGTACCTGGCCGTGTTTGCTTGATCATACGTAACGGCACGAGGACGTCCATTCCGGAGGCATTGGCACGTCGCTTGGGGATCCATTGAACCCATTCTCATGCTGCCGCTAACGTGTCAGCCACTGATTCGAATCATTCGAGAACCCGCCCAGAGTCACAGTCGAAACATCGAAAGCTTCCCGGGCTCCGCCGTCGTCGGGTCAGCACGCCATTGCTTGTTCATATTTGCTTTTTCTGGTATGCGCGATGACCTTCTATGCCACGTTCTTTGGATGTTCTTCGTGCACAAGTATCTTGCTTATTCTGCATTGGCTGGATTGCTTGGCTTCTGGCCCCCACTCTTGACAGGCACGAAACTCTCCGAGTGATTTGTGCTTTTCTCTGAAAGCAAGCCATGGCGACACATCAAATAACACGTAGACATCCCGGAAAACGCCTAAGGGGGTGCGACATCACACCTTATTACACGGTAAATAGAGTGGGAAGGCGCATCAACACGGCCAATAACAGCTGGTCCTACTGTCGTTCTGCCCAAGATCGTCTGTTTGGCTATTACTGTACTGTGCAGCGCCGGAGACGAAACGAAAATATGTCTTCCTCATCCAGGAACAGATCTGGCACAGCAGCTGTGCTGTGGAACGCGATCTGGAACCTTGCCAACTGCGGATGATCCGAGAGGTTCACGAGATGAGCCGACAACCGAGCAAGGCAGCACTGCATGCGAGGATCAGGGTCGCCTGGAGTCCCACCGGGAGGAACGACCAAGGAGCAGAATTCTCGTGAGTCCATTCTGTTCCTGCGATTTTCGTGGCATCAGCACATTGGGGGCGGTCAGGGCAGGGATCCAGTAGGCTGGTGGGTTGTGCAGCCCTATGGGGCTTTGACAGGTGAGTAAATAATCGGGTCTTCTTGTTTGAGAAGAGAAATTACTGCAGACCCACGGCGAATTGCCGTGTCTCTTCGGCCTCACGGGCCCAAGACTTCAATGCACAATTATAGCTTGGTGAGTTGTCTCTTCCCCAGTGACTAATGGGTTATGCAACGGCGTTATGCAGAACCTGGGCAGCCCTATGTTGACGTGTGCAATGATGGGGCTCCACCTATAGTGACTCAGAACCGTGTTTCAAAGATCTTGAAAATTTTCAGGTCCCAAACAGTCAATCGAGATCATTAAGTTCAAGAAAAAAAAGTCTTCCTGTTGGTCTCGTGCTTACGATGTTGTGGCTCAGGGGCCCTCATTCCACTGGGTTCAGCCCAGGTCTCATAGTGCCGGCTCATTGCCGGTTGCCTGGAGGCCATGGGCCAAGAGGGAAAAACTTTTCCTCTCACTGAATGTACAACATGCACGGTTTCGTGCCTCACGAATGTACTTCTGGAGGATTGATCGTACCAGTCTGGATACTTATGTATAATGACTGCAACCGTAGAGACCGTGATATCTGGCGCCTAGAGCGTCCCTAGCACCAAGTTGATGGGAAATCCCCATTTCCAACCCTACTATAGATGCTATACAACCCTCCATCATCTAATGATGAAATGATCTTCGCCAAGTGCCGCGATTGGTAGATCCACGATGGCCAGAGGATCGAACGACTTTATCCATGGTTGAGGAAAATTCAGCAGCGTTGCATTTTTCGCTCAGACAGTGGACACAGCGCAGCGAGACACGGCATGCTGCGTCCCTGCTCCTTGTTCACGCAGTTGTGCACCGCCGTTGGGTGTCTTCGGGCGTCCGTGAGGTTGAGTCACTTTCTTTTTTCTGTGAGCCGGACCCCCGGGGTACAAGGCTTGGAAAAGCCGTGGGCGTGAACCTATTCCGGGTGGGACTCGCTACGTCTACGCCGTCGTTCTACAGATGGGATGGAAAGAACACAGGGCGGCCCGTTCCCTGACGTCTGCCAGCACGGATGGCTCTCCGGGCCCTGCGTCGTTGTTCCTGGCACTGGCAGCCAAGTCCAGAACAGGTTCCTTCAATTCCCTGTGTAGAGATCATCATTTTACTGCAATACGTAATGTGATACTGATGGCGATTTTCCAACTTTTCAATCTCATGGGTTTGCACCATGTGGGTTCTGCGAAGACACTGGGATTGCTTGGACAGATTGAGAGCGGAACGAACGGGGAATTCAACAGTCATTTGGTATCATGGGTCTATTAAGGGCGAACGCACAGTATCTCAGGGGGCAAGAGACTGCAAAGCCTCGAATCCCTTGCCGATGACCTCCTCGCCGCCGGCCATCATGAACTCGTATTCCAAGTCCGGCTGTGCTTCACGGTAGAGCGCGTGCTTCTCGCTGGCCATCGTGAAGTTGTACGCAGCCTCTTCATCGCTGATGATATTCTTCTTGATGCCAGCTGCGGCCGCAGCTTCGACCTGCAGCTGGATCTGACACCCGCGGTCCAGCAATCCAAACATGAAACCGGCCTCATCAACCGTCTCCCCAACCGTAATCAAACCATGGTTCATGAGGATGGCACCCTTGTTGTTTTCGCCCAGGGCATCGGCAATGTTCTCGCCTTCGTCCGAAGCGAAGACAATGCCACCGTAGTTGGCGTACACGGCGTGGGCGTTGTGGAAGTTGCAGATATCCTGGCTCAGCATGTCGAGCGGCCGCGCAAAGACGCTCCATGCCCGGCCGGCATTCGTATGCGCATGACAGATGGCATGGATGTTGTGAGGGCGACGCTTGTGGACTGCGGAATGGATCAGGTATCCGGCCGCATTGGCAGGACGGCTGGTGTTGCCACCGGCGATCCGACCGGTCTGGATATCAAGGCAGATCATGTCGCCTGCAGTCAAGCACCCAAAATGACGGCCCAAAGGGTTCATCCACATCAGGTTCGCGAATTCTGGGTCTCGCACAGAGATGTGTCCGCTCATACCCTCTGTGTATCCCTGCCGGGCAAAGAACCGGAAGGTCGCAGCCATGTGCGTAAGTACATGCTTCCGTTCCTCGTGGAAAGATGGAAACGTCGGAATGCCTGCATACTCGTTGGTCTCATGCACACGTCATGTAAAGCACATCAGGTAGCTAAGGTCATGCTAAAAGGAAGTCTCCTAGGGACGCAACCACCGCTCATGGCAGACTCCTTGATCTCCTGGCACGACAGAAGCAGCTTACCTGAAAGAGCCGGACCATGTGAAATAGCCTCTAGGGGCGTCTTCTCCAAGCCGGCCCTGACGACTTGACCATCCTCTGCCGGCTGCGGGCTCTTCGCCTTGGTTGGTAAGGGGCTTGGCAGCGTCTCCGAAATCGCGGAAGGGGCCATCTTGAGGATGTGAAAAGGGAATCCTATGAGAGGCAATCGCAAATGAATAGCAACCCGCGTCTGCCAGACTGGAAGTGATAGTCGTGCTGAGGGTGTTGGTGCGATTGCGCTGGATCGGAGCTTATCTATGGTATTTGGAAGACCTGTAACCGGAGGGCGTGCATGCGTTCAGCGCCGCCACCCCGCGAGCGGCCGTTCCGAAGATGGCTACGGCGGAGGCTACGCAAGCATCCCGATAGGCTTGTTGCCTTCCTTGGCTTTAGAGCCAGATTGAGCAAGTCCTGCCGGTATCTTTCAGTTCATGATACGGTACTTCGACCCTGCATACTTTTAAAGCTCTCTGGTTCGAGTATAAACGCCTTTTGCTCGGCTTGACATTTGCTATTCGCTGGCACTACGTGCAAAGCGTCGTCCGGCATCGCATAGTAGCGGCTCCGATTCCAGGAGTGAGGAGATGGCCGCTCCGTAGCAAAATCATCTCTCGGTTCCACGGCGTCGTTGTTAGAACTGGTTCTTTTCAACATTCAACAGACCACTGCCTAGTCTAATATGGACATACAGTAGGCTGACAGCCGTGATCTCTAATTTACTTAATGTGACGGTTTGTAACTACGAACGACAACAACGACGAGCTTGGAACCAGAGTGCATAGAAGAGGCGTTTTCTGACGAAACCAGTGATTCTAGGTATGATGCATATCAAACGCTATGAACCAGCGGCCATATACAAATCATTCCGAATACTGGAGGTCAAGAAAGTAGAAGAGAGCCAGATAACCTCTCCGTAATGGCGAGCACCTGACTTACACGAAGGAGGGATACATGCTGGGCAGTCCATTAGAACCAGGATGCCCTGAATGGCCTGAAATGCCCCTCGCGGGGTGTGCATGTGCACGGGCCACTCATCCATAATTATCGGCAAAACCATTTCTCCATATTTGGCGATAGCTCCAAAAATTGGTCTCCAGGCCCGAACATTTTGGGGCCGAAGTCAACAGAAGCTCGCTGAACCCCCACGTAACGGACGAGATTTGGCCATTCTTGACCTGAGTGTGTTTTTGAAGCTCCTGTTGAAGCCGCCAGCCCTTCCCTACACCGAGACCGATCCAGGGCCGTCCGCAAGACACCGACATTCAAGATGCAGGCCCCCGTTTTGGTGATGAGTGAGCCCCTCCATCCAAGCTCCCGAGGCTGATATGGGACCGCGATCAACTGACCATGGCCTCCTCCAGACACCCAAAGCGGTGAGAGACAGACTGGTCGTAAAGCCCAGATGTCCAACATCGCTGCCGCCAAGACGTATGTTTCGATCCCCAATCCCACGCCCGCCCACCTGCCTGCCTGCCCGTCTGCCTCCTGCCTAACCCCCTTTTCGCAGTGTCGCCGATATCATTCGGTCATGTCTGGGACCCAAGGCTATGCTAAAGATGCTGCTGGACCCCATGGGCGGCATTGTGCTTACGAACGACGGTCACGCCATCCTGAGAGAGATCGAGGTCTCGCACCCCGCCGCCAAGAGTATGATCGAGCTGAGCCGGACGCAAGACGAGGAGGTGGGAGATGGTACAACCACAGTCATTATCCTGGGTGAGTACGTGCGTGGAATCGCTGATCAGTATGAGAAACTGATTTTGGAATAGCCGGTGAGATCCTGGCGCAGGCCCTCCCGCAACTCGAGCGAAACATCCACCCTGTCGTCATTATTTCTGCCTTCAAGCGAGCCCTCAAGGATGCTTTGGAGATCATCGACGAGATCTCACTGCCTATCGACATCAACGACGACAAGGCTATGAACAGCCTGATCTCGTCATCGATCGGCACCAAGTTTGTTTCGAGGTGGTCTGATCTCATGTGCCAGCTCGCACTCAACGCTGTGCGAACTGTCTCGTGGGAAGCCGGCAACGGGAAGCAGGAGGTTGACATCAAGCGATACGCCCGCGTGGAAAAGGTTCCAGGCGGTGAGATTGAGGACAGCAGAGTCCTCGACGGAGTCATGCTGAACAAAGACATCACACACCCCAAGATGCGACGCAGAATCGAGAACCCCAGAATCGTGCTCCTGGACTGCACTCTTGAGTACAAGAAGGGTGAATCGCAAACCAACATCGAAATATCCAAGGAGGAGGACTGGAACCGCATTCTGCAGATCGAGGAGGAGCAGGTCAAGGCCATGTGCGAGTCCATCTTGGCGCTCAACCCAGATCTCGTCATCACCGAGAAGGGCGTGTCGGATCTTGCCCAACATTACTTCATGAAGGCCAACGTTACTGCGCTGCGAAGAGTCCGCAAGACCGACAACAACAGAATAGCAAGAGCTACGGGTGCCACCATCGTTAACCGGGTGGAGGATCTCCAAGAGTCGGACGTTGGCACGCAGTGTGGTCTGTTCGAGATTGAGAAGATCGGCGACGAGTACTTCACCTTCTTGACCAAGTGCGAGTCGCCAAAGGCCTGCACCATCCTCCTCCGTGGCCCCTCGAAGGACGTGCTGAACGAGATCGAGCGTAACCTGCAAGACGCCATGGGCGTTGCACGGAATGTCATCTTCTCCCCCAGACTGTCTCCCGGCGGTGGTGCAACCGAGATGGCAGTTTCCGTTAGGTTAAACCAGCTGGCCAAGAGCATCGACGGCGTGGAGCAGTGGCCGTACAAGGCTGTGGCCGACGCTCTCGAGGTCATCCCGCGAACTCTGATCCAGAACGCCGGTGGTAGCCCCATCAGAGTCTTGACCGACTTGCGCGCCAAGCAAGGCGAGGGCAAGAGCTCCTGGGGTATCAACGGTGAGACAGGTGGACTGGCGGATATGAAGGACTACGCCATCTGGGAGCCGGAAGCCATCAAGCTCCAGAGCATCAAGACGGCTATTGAGGTGAGTTTTAACCGTACCAATATACCGACGGAAAAGATTACTAATATGCCATCAGGCTGCCTGTCTCCTGCTCCGAGTAGACGACATTTGCAGTGCCAAGAAGGCGCAGCAAGTCGGAGGTGGTGTTGGCGGAGGAGACGATTAAACTACGTACCACAGGTAATCTGGTAGGATGCATCTGGGTCTGGATCTGGAGCGTGGTCATGAGACATGTTGAGGAATATCATACCCCTGTATCAACAGCTGGCCAAAAAAGTTTGATGAGATAGACGAATTAGACGGCTCTGCTGCCGCTGATGGTGCGAATGAACCGCACCTACTCCTGGTATCTTTGGTGCTCAAATGCATGTGTTCCTTCTCCTCGTTATGGTACAGTCGATAGAGATGTCCTTGCGTTTCATCTCCGGCCTCTTGCGTTTTGTTGTACAATCTATTATTTCCCAAGGCCGAGCCAACGTTCAACGTTCAAAAGCATCGCTGCGTGAAACATCTCCCAGGCCGTAATGATGGTGGCCCCTAGTCTTCCTCGATCACAATCCCTTTCGGCTCCTCCACCACCGCCTCGGGTGCATCCTTGACATCGGTGTCCCCGTCCGCCTCGCCATCCGGCCTCGTCACCGCTATCCTGGGACCGGCCTTGGCTCCGTTTGCACCGCCCTTGGCCTCGGGCGCCTTGCCGCCCGCCGCGCCCTTGGCCTTGGCCTTGCGGGCCTTCATCTTCTCGCGCTTCTCGCGGTTGCGGCGGGTCTTGTCGTCGTCGCGGCGCTCCCGCTCGGCGCGCTCGCGCTCGAAGGCCTCGGCCTCGGTCTCGCGCCGCACCTCGTCGTCCATCTGCCGCAGCCGCTCGTACTCGCGCCGCCGGCTCGCCTTGTACACGTGGAACTCGCCCGACCCCGCGCCCGCCGACGACCCCTGCACGTTGGTCACGATCTCGGGCGGCGCGGCCAGCCGCCGACCGCCCGCCGCCGAGGACGACGGCGGGATGCGGATCTCCTGGTCCGGCTTCGCGAACAGCGCCTCCACCGTCGACGCCTGCGCCGACACGGGCGTCAGCGCCCGTTTCTTGGTCGCCCGCTTGGAGCGCGGGTCCGCCGACGTGGGGATCGACTCGGGGCCCTCGCCGGACATGGTGGCGGTGATGGGGCGGTGTTGTTGTTGTTGTTGGTGGTTGGAGCAAGCCGTGCGTGTTCGAAAGGTTGTCGATGTTGCCGCGAGGCCTGCTTGGCGGGTGGTGTGTGTGTGTGTGTGTGTGTGTGTGTGTGTGTTTGCGCAGTGGTCTCGTGCCACTCTACGCAGACGCTGTACGACGATGCAGGCCGGGGCCGCCTCGGGGCCCAGAGCGTCGGGACTGTAAGCGCGGGGCGTGGAATGGGTCGATTCCCGCAGTGCCGGTATCTGGGTTTTGTCTGACCTCGTTGGTGGGCCAAGCGCCGGTGTGAGAAGGTTGCGATGTCAAGAATGCTGGGCAAGCTGGGGATAAGGCTGAAGGGCAGAACCTTGGAAGATGTGACCAGTCATCAGCCTCATGGCCAATGGCGCATCTTTTTTTCCTGTCGGTCCCTCTTGGACCCCCCCTCCAGCTGGCCGGGCTGGACCGTTTTTGGCGCGCCGTCGGCGTCTTACGGGGGGCGGCTTAGCGCTTGGGATTTGCCGGGGCACAGGCGCTTCCTTTCGCCGTGGACCGGGTGGCCCAGCAGCCAATAGCAGGGCGGCCAACTGCCATTTCGCTCCCCTTGGGCCGCTGATCGGTGCCCCCCCGCAGCCCTGTCTGGCCGTGTCTGGCTGTGTGCCCCTCCAGATCCCAGCTTGGCGAGGCAGGGGGAATGGGGCGATGGCTTGGTTGAAACTTTGGGTTGTTTCTTCTTTTTTCAGGTGCATTTGTCAACCTTGGAACTGAGTCACCATCTACAAGAGAAAGCTGTCACGCACTTCTCTTCTCTTGCCCCTCCTCCCCCTTCCCCTCCCCCTCGATCTCCCATTGGAATCATCGTATCGTTTCTCTTTGTCTACTGTTGGTGCCCCGGTCTACGGCAGCAGGCTTGTGTTCGTTGGTCCGTATAGCGTCTTTAGGCATTAATACCATATTCACTCCCATAGACTGGCCGGCTCTCGTGAAGTTCTCCAGCTTTTTCCTTCTTCTTCTCGGGCATCGCTGCTCGTCGGACGGGACAGAAAATTGCCGTGGCGACGCGCTTGTGTGGAAGCCGCTCATAGTCACAGATTCGCCGTCCTGATCGCAAGGAGGCAAAGTTGGCAAACGAAACCAGAACAAGGCTTTTGTCAGGTCTTCTTGTTTCTGTCTTTGCAACAGAAACCATATCAGACCGAGGGTCAGGGAATAGACAGCCACAATGGGACGTCCGAGGCTGATCATCGTTATCAGGCACGCCCAGTCTGAGGGCAACAGTAAGTTACATGTGGTCGTCTGGGCTGCCCGCATTCCACCTAGCTAACTCGACTCTCTCCAGAAAATAGGGATATCCACCAGACCGTTCCCGATCACCGTGTCAAACTGACCTCTGATGGCTGGGATCAGGCCCGCGAAGCCGGCCGCCGACTGCGTTCAATACTTCGAGACGATGATACTGTGCAATTCTTCACATCGCCGTACCGGCGGACCCGGGAAACGACCGAGGGTATCTTGGAGACCCTCACCTCCGACGATCCAGACCCAACGCCCTTCAAGCGATCCAATATCACAGTCTACGAGGAGCCGCGTCTGCGCGAGCAGGACTTTGGCAACTTCCAGCCCTGCAGCGCCGAGATGGAGCGCATGTGGCAGGAGCGTGCCGACTACGGCCATTTCTTCTACCGCATCCCAGATGGCGAGTCTGCTGCTGATGCCTACGACCGCGTCTCGGGCTTCAACGAGTCGCTGTGGCGCCAATTTGGCGAAGACGACTTCCCCAGCGTCTGCGTGCTCGTCACGCACGGCCTCATGTCTCGGGTCTTTCTGATGAAATGGTACCACTTCAGCGTCGAGTACTTCGAGGACCTGCGCAATATCAACCACTGCGAGTTCCTCATCATGAAGAAGCAGGAAGACGGCGGCAAGTATATCCTTCAAAACAAACTACGGACCTGGTCTGCCCTGCGGAAGGAGAGGGCTGCGCTCAAGGCCAAGGAGGATGCCGAGAAGGCAAAAGAGGACGAGGCCATCTCTACCGCGCCGGGGACCGCTGGAAAGGACAGCCTGAAGCTTGAACGTCAGAGTGCCTCGCCCATTGTCCCACGCCGCTGGGGTGGTTGTCCAGAGGGCTGTAATCATGCACAGCACTTCAAGATCCGGCGAGACCTTGCCGAGCTTCGGTCAGTAGACGAGAAGAATGCTGCGAAGCATTGCATCACCGCTACTAGCACGGCCAATGCGGCCAACACCATCGCCTTGCGTCGGAACGGTCTTCCTCGCCACGCAAATTCGTCCGATGACGATTCAGACGACCCCCGCGGCGTACCAAACAGCGGGCCGAAAATTGACATTAGTAAAGCCCGAGAGGAGGTCGTGTCCTCCCCGGACGGTACGCCCTCGTATATCACCGTGGAGGATCGCCTGCGCAACCACTCCAAAAGCCCCAAGTTCTTGCACGTGGGCCGCGATTTTGGCGGGACTCACAGTGGCGCGAACAGTGATGCCGAGATGTCGGAGGATGACGCACGGCGGCGCCTGGCCAACATCGCGGTTAGAGTCAAGCCCACCAATGGTGCCAATGGGGTGAACGGGGCCGCCAAGGGAGAAGCTACTGGCACGGGCAAATACCTGACCGACAGTGGCATGGGCCGCAGGGCGCATGCTAATAGGCTTGGTGATGCGCCGCTCACCAGCTCGGACCAGGGTTCCGAGGACGGCGGCGACGAGCGAGAGGAGGGCGACCACGAGCCCGAAGATGACGACCTGGACAAGGCGGAGAAGCAGGATAAGAGCATCATTGGTAGCGTCTACTGAGTATAGAGATGCTACTATGCCACGGCCGTGGGGTTGAAATCAAGGGCAGATTGAGTGAGCGTAACGGATTGGAAGAATAGGGAGGGCATGGGGATGTACATGGAGGCGCAGCGAGTCGTTCATGCATTTTGGGTCTCGCAGAAGATTGGTTTACGAGTCACGATGGTCGGATATACCCATTGCAGTATGTTCAAGTTTGCCGAAGTTGGGTAGCTGTGTTGGGCTCAGCATAGATCGATGTAGTCAATATTGAGAACACATATGAGTATTGATACAGGTCCCTGTCTTAGCATTGACGGAGCATTTGTGTAGTAGCAGCCGTGGGCGTAGTCCCACTATGGTTTGCCTTATCTCTTAGAAGCATGCGTAGCCTCGTGGGTTTTATAGTACACCGAACTTGCTTCAACACCGTAACAAATAAAGCAGCTTAATAATAAATGAGCCCCAACTCCCTCAGGTACGCATGCTCGTCCCAACCTAATTGAAACCCCTCAGAAGACTTATGGCCTTTCAAAACTATACTTTAGAAAGCAGAAAGCGTCACCGTGGTGCTCTCCCTGGTTTTCCTGGACCCCCAGGTCGTAAGGCCACGGAGTTGTGAGGGTGTCTGCTGGACCGTGGTGGAGAAGGTAGCTGATTGTGTCAACGATATCGTTGAAATCCTTGAAGTCTTGGCAAACTTATATGTACTCGGTAGCATGCAACAGCTTGCGGAGGAGCTCTGGCGCGGCAGTCCACAAGGTTGTCTGGATTTGCTGTGTTACAGGAAACAGATTCTCCATGCTTCTGATGAACCTCAATCGCCGATAGACGCAAGACGCTTGCAGCAAATCAAAGAGGAGATTCTCATCTAGAGTGACTTTCCCTTGCGTGAGCATGAGTTCGAATGCACTTAGATTGTTCACTTTGATGCATTCTTTGAGACGGTACACGACGGGTAGGTAGCACGAAGACCGTGCACAAGGGCACAGAAGGTCTGCTCCCGCTTCCAGCAGGACAGCGACTATGTCTAGAGTCGCCTTTGCTCTACCCTCTGGTTCCGTATAACTTAGCTCAGGGCTGAGAGCTACTTGCAATGGTGTTTTCCGTGCAAGGCCCCGGAGACTGGGCGATCTTCTCCTTGCTTCAGAAGTTTGCGAAGGGCCTTGTGCCATCCACACTGGCAAACCCACAGCAGAACACGGCCTATCTCGAACGTTGCTCTTCGGCGTCCACCGCGATCAAGGAGATCTTGGGAATCTGGTTCAGCGTCTGTCTGTCGCAATTTACTTGCGTTGTCCAATGGTTCTCGATCGTGTCTCGTCCAGGAATAACGAGTCCCTGTAGGATCGAGGTTAAACAGCATGTAATAGAATGTAACTTCTCAGTCAGTAATATGATGGGCTTTGTCGACATCTAAGGCTAACTTGGAGCGGTCTGCGTCAGGCTCCGAAAAAGAGATGTGTACCATGTCTTCACGAAAGATTTCCTATATCCTGCTTATGGTGTGGAATAGAAGCGCACCACCTGTCACGGTCTTACGGACTACAAAAGGCAATACTCATATATGGGGTGCAAAGCATGGTAATAATTACTTAAAGACCTAATACAAACGGACGAGAAACGCGCTTTTGCATATTCTCTCAAAA